CAGATAAACATCATTAAATAACATATTTAATGATTCAAATAAAATTAAAGAACATATTTAATGATCCAAATAAATCAATTAATTCCAACAGTTATTTACATTCGTGCCTCAGGGAAAGGAAGTTTGACTGCCTTACCATTAGTCTTGTAACGGCCTCTACTAATTTTATCTTTACATGATCGTGTAGGGGTGTGATGCATCAATACTTCTGGACAGCACTGGAACCATAATCAGTGAGAAGAGATCCAATCCCAACAGGAATTCTGCCCGTGGATTTGAAGTCCTTGATGAGATAAAATCCGCGCTCGAGAAAGAGTGCCCTCACACTGTTTCTTGTGCTGATATTATGGCTCTTGCTGCAAGGGATTCCACAGTTCTTGTAAGTAACACATTCTGACATAGCATTCGATTAGAAAATGGAAAATTCTCTTGAAAGCCGATGGCATTTGCTCGTAATGCAGACTGGTGGACCTAGCTGGGAAGTTCCATTAGGAAGAAGAGATTCAAGAGGCGCAAGTGTGAGTGGTTCAAACCAGAACATTCCTGCTCCAAATAACACATTCCAGACAATCCTCACTAAGTTTAAGCTGAAAGGACTTGACATGATTGATCTAGTGGCATTATCTGGTAAAATTAACATGATTGTCTCTTCTTTGTCATTATGTTACGTTACTTTCAAAACAAAGGCTTACGAAGTTGATCAATCAAGTGCTTTCATGGTATGATCTAGTGTATTTTATACTACGACTCCTTTGGGGACTTATTAACCTCTTTGGGCTTCTATCAAATCAACATATAGGTTTGACTATCTTTTTGACTATACTAAGGACTTGTAATGTAGAGCTCAAGTCAACCTCAAAATTGGGAATTGTGCTTGTCATCATATCCTGCTCAAGATTGATCTTTAAGACACGTGTGATTTCTAATTTAGTGTGATAAAGAATTCATGCAGCCGGCTCAAATCATAGGGAATAGGCTTATTTTGTTCATCTTTTGATGCTGATGAAGTACTAAAATGTCTTGCTGTGATTAACACAGTAGAGCATGCAAGTTTAACATCTGGTAAATCCTCCTTCAGGAAGTCACACCATTGGAAATTCAAGATGTGTCAGCTTCAGGCAACGGATCTACAACCAAACAGGCAACGGGCAACCGGACTACACCCTGGACCAATCCTACGCAGCCCAATTGCGTACTAGGTGCCCAAAGTCCGGTGGTGACCAAAACCACTTTTTCTTGGATTTTGTCTCCCCAACAAAGTTCGACAACAACTACTTCAAGAATCTGTTGAGTTTCAAGGGCCTGCTGGATTCTGATGAAGTTCTGGTGACTAAGAATCAAGTGTCATTAGAGTTGGTCAAGAAATATGCTGAGAACAATGAGCTTTTCTTTGACCAATTTGCAAAGTCCATGATTAAGATGGGAAATATTTCTCCACTGACAGGATCGAGAGGAGAAATTCGTAAGAACTGCAGAAAGATCAACGCTTGAATGTTCCCATGAATGTGGTAGCTTGTCTGTACCTCTGTGTTTTATTAAATTTCTCAATTTATCGCTTTGATTCAGATTAAGTTTTTCAAATGTCTAAAAGTTGTGTCAATTTCTGTGAACATGTGGAGTGATGTAAAAGCTTTTGGCATAACCTAATGAGAATCCTGTCTGTTTCCATAGTTAATTCACTATGATTCTGTTTACTTAGTCTCCGTGTGGTAAAATTTATAAATCATTTATAAATAATCAAACTTCATTTTTAAGTACTCATTCCAATTGCACCACTATTGTCTATCTACTCATGAATTAAACTGTTCATAAATTCTTCCCAAACCGAGGCTTAAACTTAGAAAGAGGTGACGAAGAATTGTAACATAATACATCTATCATATATGGCATACACACACGCGCGAAAGGGGGATCTATTTAAACCGAATAAGCACCAAGTAATCAAATTTCTTGATCGCTTATCACTCGTGATTAGTTTCTCATCTCTTGAGGTTTCAAAGTTTCAAAGCTCAAAAACATTCACATTGGCGAAGCGATTGAAAGCTTTGACAGAAACCATACTTGGGGTATTGTTACTTGTATAGTTGGATATAAGACATTCATCTGTAAATGTGTGTACTTTATCAAACAAAAACCCGATGGACCTTTTCGCTGCTACAAAGCATGTCAAGTTGCTCTAGTAAATTAGCAAGAATAAGGGATACATTGTCATGAAACCTTTGCTCTAGTAGCCAAAATGACAAGTGTTCGCACTTTGTTGGTTTTTGGTTGAACATGAATCAACAAAATATTACACACGTCGCATTACGACAAAAAGTATCACAATGACACGTGAGATATAGATATTGTTCTTTTAATCTCTAGCTTCCATCTTTGATATAATTATTTTTTTCGTATTGTATCTACGCATTAACATGTACAAGTTTATCATTTTCCACTTTCTTCTTTCTAACCTTTTCCTTCTCTCTTCTATATCCTACCTCTTCTCTGACAACACATCAACTTCGGCGACATGGCACCTCCGGTAACACAATGCGGAGCCCTGTGAAGCGATACTGCACTCGCTGCTCCACGCCTCTGCACGTGGCGTTGATGGGTGGCATCGAAATCGAAGGCACAGTTGCAGCGCCACCATGATGTGCAGTGCTGGCGAACAGAGCTTTTGCGGGCGGAGTTGAGGCATGATGTAGTGGTTTTGGGTTGGGTTATTCGGCGTTGCATTTTCCTGGCATCTACGGCGGGATCACGGTGGCGATTTCCAGTGGTCTTCTAAACTTTTCTCTATCGATTTGTTGTGATTTTTTTTGGTGATTTTGCAACATGTTTTGTGTTGATTTTTGAGGTGGTGGTGTAGGTGGTGGTAGTGTACGGTGGTGGTGGTGTAGATGGAGATAGGGGAGATGGCGGCAGCGGTGGTGCTAGCCGTGGTGACGATGGAGATGGCGATGGTTGTGGATAGATAATGATGGGGCTGCTGCTGGGTTTGGGTTGGATTGGGTTGGGAGTGTTTGTGACCAATTATATAGGCGTTGTGACTAATAAATTGTTAATTTATGACCAATTATTAATATGTGAGTTAGAAGAATGTGTGATTGTGACTAACTTTGTAATTGTTACTCAAAATTTGGTAAATTCTGACTTATTAATTTGATAATTTGTGATGGTGATATAAGTTGTGACTTACAAAATTTATGATTTGTGATCGATAAATAAATTGTGACCTATAAATTTTTTGATTTGTAATCAAAAAGTAATTTATGACTAATTAATTTAATAATTTGTGATCAAATTACGTAGAATTGTCACATTAATACATTTGATTAATAAAATATATTTTAAATTAATTATTTCTTAAATAAAATTTAATAATATTTGATTTTTAAAGTTTTAAACCTTGTTTTTTAATGGGAAATTAGTAACCTCTTGGATATGACAATTTCCCAATACATAATATAATAATATATACGTTTTCTCCTTGGCTTTGACTTTGAGAGAAAAAAATGACTGCACTCTTTTCCCTTCCATACCGTGGCTGGGGAAATTAAATACCCAAAATTTAACAATATCCTTTCCAAAATAAAATTTGACTTTTTCAAACCTTGAAACTACCTAAAATACCCCTAAGGATAATAATTACATCTAAACTACACAAAATAAGAGAAAAATACAACCAAGTCCTAGATTTTAGAATGACTAATAAAAATTATAAAAAACCTAGAACCAAAAGAGGACGATATAAAATTAAAAAGATAGTTAAAGATAAAAAGGAAATTGAATTTGAAAATGAATTTGATAAGATTGGATATCAAGAACAACTATATGCATCTCAAAAATATTAAAATGTTTTAAAGAAAACATGATGGAAAACTTTGCTAAAAGAATAGTAAGATCTATAATAATAAATGATATACAGAATATTATAGATAAATTGGAAAAAAAGAAAAAAATAATATTTTTAAATATGAAATACCTTTTAATCCAAATATAGATATAATAACAGATCTTGATATTATAAGTTTTCAAATATTAATGCCCCGTTTGGCACCCATTTTTTTTTCATTCTCATTCTCATTATTTATCTCTTTCTTTATTTCAACCACACATTCTATTAATAAAATAATATTACACATAAACATAAAAAAATTTCTTACTTTTTAACCACACATTCTTCCATCAATCACTATTCAAAAACACATTTTTCTACTAAAATGGGTGTCAAACACCCCCTTAAAACATTATAAATGAAAAGACCTATACTAAATAGATTACCAAGTATATAAATATTTAAAATTTAGAAAAATAAGATTTTATATAGCTATATTAAAGAATTCCGTAAGAACCATTTAAAGATTTTAAAAATTATTAGATTTTTGATTATTTGATTTTTTTTATTTTTGTTCACTCATAGTAGCACCCCCTCACTTGGCATCAGAGCCATAAGATCTATAAAAACCTATAAAAATCATGAAAATTATAATAAAAATTAAATAAGATAATGGAAATCGAAGATTTAGGTAATAGATATAAAATAATAAGAGAAAATTTTAATATAATAATTGTAAAACCAATATTATGTAATG